AAGAAAGAAAGAAAGAAAGAAAGAAAGAAAGAAAGAAAGAAAGTTCCATTACTCTGGCATTCCAAGCAGCATTGAATTTAGAATGAGAATGTTTTCATCTCACAAACAATTGTTGCTGCACAGACCATTGGGAAAATCAAGCATGGAGCTAGGTTTCCTAGTAGCTTGGTTTCTCTGCTAAAACATTTGCAGCTCTCGAAGACCTTCTCTGAAACCCCAGGCAAATTCGCCAGTGTACTTCCAGCAAGCCACAGTCAAGCACATTGAGCTCCAGTCATTTCCACCCACACCCTGACACAGCCAACAAAGTCTTAATGAGAAACGAAGAGGGAATGATGGCCAACTTGAAAAGCATGCATGCAAAATAAAACAAAAATTCTGTAAGGCAATCTGATTTTTATTTTACTTATTTATTTACTTTTGCATCATGTTTCCAAGCAGTCTCAGATTATATGCTAAAACAAGGTGGTCAAAGTTCATGGAAACAGAGAAAGAAGAGCAAATTGTGTTTATTTGTGTTTAGGGAGGATTAATATTCATATTGTTCTTCTGTCCACCTCAAGAAAAAGGAAAAAAGAAACCATTAGGGGAAAGGACTGCATTAGATTACTAGCAAGAAAAAGAAGTACACAAATCAGTCTGAGGAAGTGGTGGACCACACAGTTCTGCTCACCCAAACTTTCTCCCTAAATCCAGATTCACTCCTCCAGAGGCCAGAATTAAAATTAATTCTGAACCAGAGCGCAGTGGTGCTCCTGGTTCAGTGCCTTCTCACAAATCAAGGCCCAAATGCTGCATGATGAGGTGAGCTCCTGTCACCAGTCCCAGCTTCTGCCAACCAAGCAGTTTGAAAGCATGCAAATGCAAGTAGATAGATAGGTTCTCAGTGGTATCTGAACACTCAGGTAACAGTGTTTGATGCAGTCATGCTGGCCACATGACCCCCAGAGCAGTCCTTGGACAATGCTGGCTCTTCAGCTTAGAAATGGAGATGAGTACCACTCCCTACAGTCAGTTATGACTAGACATTCATGTCATGGGACTCCCTTTGCCTTTATACATGGCCAACATAGGACGTTATCACACGTGGGCCACAAAGCGATAATAAACTGG